TTAAATGTGATAAAGCAGTCATTAAGTCAGGGACAAACAATGGGCAAGACCGTTACAAAATGTTTTTTGCTAAAACACAGAAGCAATGGGTTGTAAAAGCAATGAAAGAAAAGAAAGAGTACCAGTACAGTGATAAACTACTTGCGGAGGTTGTGAATGCATGCAAAACTGAGGAGATCGAACTTGTACATCATGGCGAGAATCTTCCAAAGAACATTTCTAAATCATGTCCACCCAGGAAAGAAATACTTGTAAAGGAACATCAGTCTAGATTTGCATAAAATGTCAGTGGTGATGTTAGCTATGGCAATAGGTTTTGCCATACCCATATAATATGACGTTGAATCAGTGAAGACAACTTTTGTACTACTTAAAAAATGTTCATTCTTAAATATTAACATAGCAAAACCTTTTGCTATAGCTAGTTTCACCACTGCATTACACAAACTATTCATGTAATTAATTATAGTTATATTATAACCAGTGTAATAGCCAAGCCACATTTGTAATCATTTCTTTGTAAATCTGGTTTTTTTTGTAATAAATTAATAATAATAAATGTGCATAGCATGACCTATAAATGAGCTGGCTTCTTCGTGTTCATCAGCCGGCCATTCGGGCTCAAACTGATATGGCCGAATATTGTTTGTTGGATTGTCTTCCATTTCACTATCGATTGGTGAATTAGGCCGAGGTTCTTCCAAAAAAGCCATTATAAGCGATTGTTTTGTTTTTGTGCTAGGCTGTGCGTTATTATTTTACTTTGTTGTAAACTCAACTCCAAATCGGTTTGACGATATGACGTCAAAATAATTTCCGCTGGCGCTTTCTGTGCCCACGCTGCTAAGCCTCAAAACAGCTCAAATAGCGCACTTGAAGAGGCGATTTTGTCAAAAATAAAATAGCTGATGTAAAAATTTCAAAATATAGTAACCTTTGCATAAAAATGGAACTTTTAAGACCAACATTGTTTTTAGGTGGAGTTCCCCTTTAAGCATATGCACAATCCTAAATATTCACACAGTTTGAAAAATAACACACATATAATAGAGATCGCTACAATGATGTACCTACAAGCTGATTTTTGAGTTGTGATATTTTTACTTCATATTTCTCATAAATCATATTAACAACATTTTGATAAGATTATAATGTCGACGATTTTGTGCTGATTGTGAATAACTTCTGTTACGTTTGACCTTTGAACGACGACAGACTCTTCACACAGAGTATTATTATTTCCCCGTAATCCTTTAATCAGAAGGCACAAACCACTTATTAAAATGCCAAATATGGTCGAAATATAGCAACGTTAATCGCACAAATGATAAAATTTACTTGGATTAAGCTTAACATTGAAAATTTAATTTGCATTAACCTAAATTAGCCTTGACATTAGCCTTCATAATCTTGGAATACATCAAAGTGTTTCACTAGTCATTTACCTTTTAATAACTTTCATTTTCTCAATTTAAGCATATGTACAATCCTAAATATTCACACAGTTTGAAAAATAACCCACATATAATAGAGATCGCTACAAAGATGTAGCTACAAGCTGATTTTTGGGCTGTGATATTTTTACTTCATATTTCTCATAAATCATAATAACAACATTTTGATAGGATTATACCGACGACGATTTAGTGCTGATTGCGAATAACTTTTGTTACGTTTGACCTTTGAACGACGACAAACTCTTCACACAGAGTATTATTTTTTCCGTAATCCTTCGATCAGAGAGCACAAAGCACTAATTAAAATGCCAAATATAATTTTAACTTTCTCCAAGAATCATTCGCCAGCAGCACTCGAGAGAATGAAATAAAAAATCGTAAGAAAAAGAAACGACTAAAGCAACAGTAAAGCAACAGTAACTTTCATATTGAGCAGATTTATATGCTATACTTTGAACACTTTGTAAAAAGAATCATACAGTATGCTTTTATGTATACTGTATAATAGTTTGGTATGCGACTACATCGAGTGAATCACAACATGTTGAATAGCTAATAAAAGCATCAACATAACATTTTCTTTATTCTTGAACTGCTGCTGAGCAAAAAATGCATGTGTGCTCTCAGCATAAAAAGCATTTTATATAGAAGATTCCAGCAATTACATGCAGTTCTACAACATTTTTACAAATTAATCGTTTCTGATAAACTTTACAAGTATATCTTTTCTTTAGGAAGAGTTAATATAGGCTTTACTTAGAACACTCTGTAAAAAGAATCATACAGTATGCTTTTATGTATACCGTATTATAGTTTAATATGCGACTACATCGAAGGAAGCACAACATGTTGAATAGCTAATAAAAACATCAAAATTAAATTCTTTAATAATTGCAACTGCTGCTGAGGAAAAAATACATTTGTGCTCTCAGCATACAAAGCTCTTTATTTAGAAGATCCTATCAATTGCATGAAGTTCTACAACATTTTTCAAATGAATCGTTTCTGATAAACTTTACAGGTATATCTTTTTGTTAGGAAGAGTCTATATATGCTATACTTAGAACACTCTATAAAAAGAATCTGACAGGGTTTTTTTTGTATACCGTATAATATTTTCATATTCTATACTTAGAACACTTTGTAAAAAGACTCTTAGAGTATGCTTTTATGTATACAGTATACTAGTTCGGTATGCGACTACATCGAGTGAATCACAACATGTTGAATAGCTAATAAAAGCATCAACATAACATTTTTTTAATATTTGAACTGCTGCTGAACAAAAAATACATTTGTGCTCTTAGCATAAAAAGCATTTTATATAGAAGATTCCAGCAATTACGTGCAGTTCTACAACATTTTTACAAATGAATCGTTTCTGATAAATTTACAAGTATATCTTTTGGTTAGGAAGAGTTTATATACGCTATACTTAGAACACTCTACAAAAAGAATCTTATAGTGTTTTTTTTTTGTATATCGTAAAATAGTTTCATATTCTATACTTAGAACACTTTGTAAAAAGAATTTTACAGTATGCTTTTATGTATACTGTATAATAGTTTGGTATGCGACTACATCGAGTGTATCACAACATGTTGAATAGATAATAAAAGCATCAACATAACATTTTTTTAATACTTGAACTGCTGCTGAGCAAAAATTACATTTGTGCTCTTAGCATACAAGGCATTTTATATAGAAGATTTTCGCAATTACATGCAGCTCTACAACATTTTTACAATTGAATCGTTTCTGATAAATTTTACAAGTATATCTTTTCTATCGGAAGAGTGGCATGAAAAGTTTTTTATTGGCAGGAGTAACTTTTCATGTAAGCAGATATATTTGAGTGCACTCAAGCAAATATATAAAAAGAATCTGACAGTATTCATTTGTACATATCATATAATACTTTGGTGTAACCTGTAAAAACTACGATATGTTTAATGTTGAATATCTAATATAGAGAAGCATAGAGTTTGCATGACATTTTTTCATAATTGGAACTGCTGCCGAGCAATAAAAAACATTTGTGCTCTCAGCATACAAAGCTCTTTATATAGAAGGTTGTAGCAATTGCATGCAGTTTTACAACATTTTTACAAGTGAATCGTTTCTGATAAACTTTACAAGTATATCTCTTTCTTACGAAGAGTTTCTATATATGCTACACTTAGAACACTTTGTAAAAAGAATCTTACAGCATGCTTTTATGTATACTGTATAATAGTTTGGTATGCAACTACATCGAGTGAATCACAACATGTCGAATAGCTAATAAAACACCAACATAACATTTTTTAATAATTGGAACTGCTGCTGAGCAATTAAAAACATTTGTGCTCTCAGCATACAAAGCTCTTTATATACAGGATTCCAGCAACTACATGCAATTCTACAACATTTTTACAAATGAATCGTTTCTGATAAACTTTACAAGTATATCTCTTTTAGTGGAGGAGTGGAATAAAAACTTTTCACCGGCAGGAGTAACTTTTCATTTAAGGCGGATATACTTAAGTACACTCAAGCAAGTTCATAAAAAGAATCTGACAATATTCATTTGTACATATCATATAATACTTTGGTGTGCACTATAGAAAGTACTATATGCTCCATGTTGAATATCTAATATAGAGAAGCATCGAGTTTGCATAACATTTTTTCATGATTGAAACTGCTGCTGAGGGGCAAAATATTCTTACTGGCTATACCCCTTTGTGTTCTTTGACAAAGCACTTTGTATGGAAGATTCCAGTTATTTAATGTATGTATTTGGCATTTTTTTAATATGAACCTTTTGCGTTGATTTTTACAATCATTTTTTTCTTTAGGAACAGTAGCATGAAAACTTTTTTTATCGGCAGGAGTAGCTGAATGTTGGTATTGAGCAGATACACGGCAATACATACGTCATACTTGAATGCTTTTCAAAATGCGTACATAACAGTGCTCATTAGGAACATTAGAATGAAAAAGTTTTTATTGGATATAACGTTTAAGAAATGAATAATTGCAGTCTTGTTCACTGAACTACTATTGAATTTACAAGTTATTTTATTAGTCGACAAATTTGTTATCGCCCACCCACATAAAAATATTCCATTTAAAAAAGAAAAGGGTAAAGTTTGCACAAGCAAGTTCAAACATGAAAAAACATTTTTTTATAAAGTAATGAATGTGCGAAACCGATAAATTTAAGGAAAACATTTTTCGGGTCTCATGTTATCGGGATTGATTTTTTAATTCCGTTGGCTTTTTTTGGTTGATTTAGCTAACATCGGTTTTTAATGATTAATGAAAATTCAGCTGTAGATAAAACTCAGCTATAGCGAATGAATTATTTTGTTATGATTTGATGAATATTTATAGTTAGTAATAGTACAGTACAATTTTACTTTCATCTGTGTATTTGTATGTTTCGTGATGCTCGCGCGAGGAAGTATCGTGTCAAGTATTTTATTGGTTTACAGAATTGGCGTTGCCAACCCACGTGATCTCTGCAAGTAAAATAGAGGACGACGAGCCTGCTCCTTTATTTTTCGTCCTTGGTGTTACAAAGAGAGGTGAACAAGAAGTTTGGTGAGGAATTTCAGACGCCAACGTTTAAACGTAAAGTAGAAATAATAATAAGGTGGGTGAATTGAGTTCCAGTTATATAGCCTCATGTTTTAAGCCATGCTATTTTTAAAAAGATTAATTTTATTGTTGACCTTGACGTATGTGCTTAATTTTATCGCTCTTGAGAATTTAGGCGCTTGATTGAGTATTTTTTAACGAAAGTAATGTTGTCTAAGAAAACCTGATCCTCCGCATGGAGTCCACTTTTCAAGGTATAGTTGTGAACTATGCCAAAAGGTTTGTCAGCTCGCCTTTTCCATATAGCCAGCAAGAATCTTGTTCCATTAGGAGATATGCTGTAACTATTTTCCTTTACTCTACATTGCTTATTTTCTTATAAAAAATAACTTTAGCCATTTTATCCCTGCGCTACAGAATATGACATTATAAAGCAAGCTATTTAAGATTCAAACGACCTGAAAACTTGGGAGGTAAAGGGTTGAGTGCTATTTTTGAGCTCTGTTGACGTTCCTTTCAAGCTGCCTGTTGCGCTGCCTCCTGTGGTTTTTGGCGAGTTTTTGTTTAAAGACTGAGACTCATTTTATCCACTCTATCTATATTGTTTGGTCCATGAATGTCCGTCAGCATGCTGTCTATTTTAGATGCTTTTAGAGGTTCAGATGCTGTTTTGAGCTGAATTAATTAATCTTTTGTAGGGAACACATGCCTGTTATCCATAAAAAAGTCTGTTGAAATTTATTTATATACTAACTAAATTCCACACCAGCAAAGATCAATTGATGATACTTACCTATTCCTTTATGCTTTATTACAGTTCAAGACTTTCCATGTAAACTGAAAGCCACTTATTTGTAAAGGGTTAAGATAAACTCACCTGTTGTTAAAAGTTATTTGCTTGTAAAGTTGGGTCATGCCCTTTCAAAACATCATGACCGATGTTACCGAAAGTATAAGAATTAATTTTGATTCTATTTCCACACGCAACACAGATAGTGTGAACCAGTACAAAACGTACATTTTTGCGATTAATAATTTTTTAGAATTGAGCCACTATGCATTTGGACAATGGTTTGCTTATACCTCTCTTCGTTTTTCTACTATGTAAAGGTATTTATACATTTTAATGAAGTTGCTAATGTTTCTGTATGTATCTCATAGAAGTAGCTACGGTTTGAAATGGAAGTGTTTTTGTTGTATCAACGTGGTATTAAGTTCACTATTTGTATATAGTACATAAAAAGTCTTTTAATACAGGAATTATGGCAAAAAAATTGGAAGAAAAAGGTCTTTGTAATGATAATGTTTTTTCTTTATCTTTTAACATTTTCAGGTATAAAGAAAATCATTTATATGAGTCTTCAAATAGTATATAAACTTACTCTTAAACACACAAATCAAGTAAAGAGTTGCTTGAAAACAAAATCTTAAGCAAGAGACATACAACGACCCTACGAGAACAAGTGTCAGCATACTATTTTGACTCCCTAAATTTAATTCATCTCTATTCCTCTAAGAGACATCTTAACCAGTATCAATACTATCCCTACAAAGCTAAATTTAATTTTACAATTTGTTTTTTTTTGGTCTATTTCTATGGCTCTAATCAGAAGTTTATGTTGGGCATTAATTTTTATTACTCGAATTCGATTTCCACTCGGCAAGTCTCTCGCTACTATTTTAAATTCACCTTTCCTTTCCTCTTTCCAATGTCTACCAATTTCTATTTAATCTTGAATTCTTTCACTTTCGTCAAAGAACTCTTCAACATTGACATGGTGATGGCAAGCTTTGACGTAAAATCATCGTTCATGAATATCCCAGATGATAAAACAATTGCTATAATCGCAAACCATATCTTTATAAATAACAAGTTCTTCTATAAGCCCTTGACCACTCACAATTTACTTGACTTCTTTCCTTCTAAGTCAAAAACTTTAATTTCACTTTAACGGTTGGGTTTACCGACAGATTAACAGCATGGCTACAAGCAGAAGTCTAGGCCCGCTATTCGTTAACATCTTTATGTTCTTTAATGAAAATTCATGGCTTTGCAACTGTCTCTCTACTTTCAAACTTATTCTTTACAAACGCTTCGTCGATGATTGCTTTCTTTTTGTTAGATAATTGGATAATGTACCTCTCTTTTTTACCTACCTTAACCAAAAACGTCCTCATATTTCGTTCACGTCCGAACTTGAAAAAGACGGCACACTTCTTTTCCTTGACTTCCAAGTAACTTGCTCAAACAGCAAGATTTTCACCTCTGTTTATCTTAAATCCACTTTCACTGGTCTCTTTAATGGTTTTCAATATTTCATTCCCCTTCAATATAAACGCTCTTTAATCCACTGTTTACCTCATAGTTATTTCAATATCTGTTTCCGCTATGAAGATTTTAACACTCAACTTGAAGTTGTTAGAGGAAAACTGTACATCATATTTCAGTTTTAAAAACTATGTTCACTGCGTTCTAAAAATATGATTGAACCCAAACCATCCCTCCACAATTCTCCTAACAAAATAAAGTACTTCTGCCTCCCTTTTACTCGCATATACTACATTATGGTTAGCACTAAAATCAATATACTCTGTGCAGTGAGCTTTCTTCATACTAACGTGTACTTTATTTTTTTTGTCCTCTAAACGTTTCTCCTCTTTATTTATTTAAAGAGACGTTTCATAAGTTTGTGAGATCTGGTGTTGTATTCTCATTTAAGTGTGTCGTATTCGAGAGAAATCAAACGTCATTTGCTCACCAGAGTATCAGAAAACTTTGGAGTCTCTCCCTTTAAAGAAAAACCTTATCTTGTACACCACTATTTGTTATTCTTTCTCTTATAGTAGCTCCTCTTTACCTTCTTTATCATGTTGCCCTTCTTTTTGGCCCCTTCCACTTTGTGATTTCATTTTCATCCTAACTTACTTTTTTCCTTATATGCAATTGAATAATCAGTCAATAGGCAAATATTTGCTTATATTTTGAAGCCTTGTTTTAATAAATGTTATTCTATAGGAAGATAACTTTAGCTAAGACGAAACGTAATGTTTGTACTTTATTACGAAACGTCATGATTAAAAAACGTTTAATTTTTCCAATCTTCTTTTAATTTAACGGCTGTTTTGAAAGTCTACTGCTAGCCTGTCATCTTCATATTCGAAATGTCTTCTTACATTTTAAGACTCGTATAAGTTATTGTAATTGCACTTTAAGATGTCTTACGTTACAGAAGAAACTCCATTAATAAAAACCCTTTTGTTTCTAATTTACTGTTGTTTATATTAGTCGTATGTTGATAATAAAATTTGCTATCCGCCTGTCAAATATTTCGCCATAGTTAAGTTTTAAGTGAGTTTTTGTTTTCAGGTAACCTTGTTAATGGAAACAACGAAAAAGCAAGGTTGATTAAAGACTTGTTGAAAAACTACTGTCCGGACGCAAGGCCCTTTGATAACTATTCAAGTAGTTATAACAACAACTCTAGACCTTTTAAAAACGATTTTCGTCCCGTCAAAGTTTATTTTTCGCTCACTTACCATCAACTACAAGATTTTGTAAGTATGATTATTCATAGTTTTATCATGAAACTTTGCATCAAGAAGCCTACTGTATAACATCTTTATTACCATATAAGTACCGAGAAATATTTTATCTTATTTTATCTTTAGAATGAGCCTGCCCAAATTGCCAAATCCTTAGTTTGGATACGCACGGTAATTATAACCACTAAAAATAAAGTTCTCTTTTGCAAAAATTGTTATAAGTTCTTATTGAACGAATCTCTAAAAGTTAAACACAGCACTAACAAACACCACAAATTTGTAATTACTAAATAATGATGATAACAGAACAAATCAACTAAGTCAAAACGATGAATGAAAATGATAACGTTTTTTGAATTACCGTTGTTATGCCTTTTATTTAAATAGTCAGTGGTTCCAAAAAATGTAAGAGAATAGTATTACTCACTATTCAAAAACATTATTTACTGGTGACTGTCATTTTTCAAAGCACTTGAATAATTGTCTAAATTTTTTTTATCAAAACAGGGAAGTTTTAATTAGTGTTTAGGCGACTGTGGCTAAAATTTATGTATTCCATACAATATTTCATCATGAAGCGAACTCTTATGTTGTGTGATGTCTGTAGTAATGATACTACATCGTAATTTATGAGCAATGTGTTTGATCAACTATAAATTTGTCATGTACATCATAACAGCATGTAACACTTACAATTTGTTCATTTTCCTTTGAAGAATGTAACTTAAGATTGTTTAAAACACAACATTATTTGAAATCTTTCGCCATTGTTACTAAAAATAATCCTATATTTTCATAGACTTCTTAAAAAGTTTCATGAAACATCAACTTGTCTCTTTGATTTTTACCTTGTTTCAGTATTGGACAGATATTAATTTAAAGTGGAATGCAAGCGAGTATGGAGGAAACGAGCATGTTCATATCAGCGCAGAAAAAATATGGATACCTGACTTGACACTTTATAATAGGTAGGTTGGATGAAGATTGACCAAGTTGTGCAAACGTTTGGTCACATTTTATCCCTTGAGTTTGTACCGAATGTAAAATGCACTTGTATATGTAATTATTGCGTATACATGTGATTATAACACTGAAAGCCAGTAAATTGACTTTTTTACCTATAGAAATGATGGCAATATTATTAGGTTTTCCCTAAACTTAACATTGTATAATACTACAAAACAACGAGACAAACATTGTTATACTATAACAATACCTTATCCTAAAATGACCCCCTTTTGTAGAAGGGTTAGGGTCAAGGATCCTATTAAATTATAAGACTATCCTTTATATAGTTATGCAGTGAATAGTAGAGTAAAATATATATATCACCGAATTCCTCAATGAAGTGATCCCTCCGATATTATGCTTATGATTTACGGAAAGAAGGTCTATAGCTCTGAGTCTACTGACATGATATTTTGCAAGAACTCATACTGCCTGAATTATATTCCCTTTTTCTGGTTACAAGCGCATACATATGCAGAGAGTACGTCAGGAAAGAAATAAGCGTAAAACCAAATTGAATATGCAAATCAGTTGTTTGAATTTCATACCAGATTGGTTGAAAGGAGCTCCTATCAAATATCTACATAGGTTACTTTAATAGACATAACTATTGTTAGGCAAATGGCGAAACATTTCTGCTTAAATATTATTAACGAAAGAGAAACAACCTGCGAGAGTTCGCATTTTAATACAACGTAATGCCATATTGATTCAGACGTGATTTAATTTTTCATCGGCTTAGTTTTTGACATCATAGCGAGCTTGAAGACAGGGAAAGACAAATAATTATAAGGACACTACAATATTTCTCATTACGTTGTATTGTTTTGTACCTTTGGGTACAAACAGGATCCAAATAACAAAAGGTACAAAAATAATCTTCCTTCGTTTACCAATTGGACACATAGAAAGGGTTTGAGGGCAAAATATACGCCAGCAAAAACATCAGACACTATGTCTACAAGTATATGTTTACAGGGAGCTCATAATTCCTAATAGCTTAGAGTCTACAGAAAAGATACTCCCTGGACTTAAAAGTCGAAAACGATTTGCATCAGATGCTGAGTCAAAAATATTTGATTATTATCATAGCTTATCCAACTTTCAAAAATTTAAGGCAGTCAAGTTTGAATCAAATATATAAGCATGCATAAAAATTTCCAGTACTTAAATCGCTCTTGGTAAATTAAAGGCTTATAACAATGATATTGAAAGCATATACATCATTACATTGAAAGTGTTAAGATTCCTGGGACTAAAACCACTGCAAAAAAAAGTAGTTTAATGAAATTTCTGTTTCGAACATTTGTAAAAGAAACTGAAATCTCAAAGTTAGTAATAACTCCAGCACCATGACACACCACCTGTAAGATCATAACAGTTTTTGCTTCAAACAAAGTGAAATTAATCTGCTGCTATTGATTTTTGCATATTTACTTTCTTTAATGACATTCCCATTAAAAACAAAGATATAATCGTTGAAAATTTTTCAACTGATGAAAAAAGTGAAAATTGGAAAAAGTGATGATTCCATGTATTATCCTTCATCTCAGGATAGCTTCGTCAGTACTAATGAAGATTTAAGTTTTACCTCTCCTTCTACAGAAGGAAAATTCTTTCTTTTTCAAGTCATTTGTTATAACCATTCAAAAAGTACAAGAAATGTGAAAAGGCCATTAAATCAACAAAGCAAATTTGGAATGACAATATGGTTACTACTAAAACTGTGTGCATCAACATTCACAATATTTGTTTGAAGTAGCAACCTTAAGCTAAAGGAACTGTAGTGGGAAATAACCTTTCTCCTGCAACATTCCTATTCAGTGGCAATACCTTTAAGCACATTTAAAATCTTACTAAAAAATTTCAAGCTAAATTTTGCTGGGTCATCTCAATGCTGCAAAATATAAAAAACAATATTATTTCCTGTTGTCGATGATTTTTGGGTGACAAGATAAAAATATTTTTTAACAAAATTAAGCACTCTACAAGCATTGATTTATAATGTGATGGTATTTGGTTAAGTCCTAAGCATTCTGTAAAGTAGAAAACTTATATATTCATGCATGATAAATCAAACGTTATAATTGATTTAAGTGTTGTTCAAGTCACAGAAAAGTATCTTTACTCAATTTTATGGAATACGAGGGCTGCAAATGACTCCGAATTCAATAATAAACAAGGCTCCTGTTTGATGTCTTATAACATACCATTAATTTGCAACTACCGCAAAAATGAAAAGCATCTACCAATGTATCAAGTCTTAGTGCCAATGTTTAGCTCTTGAATAAATGGGTATCAAAGAAGTTATGAAGAAGGCATAGAGAAAATGCTGTAAAGACGTAAGATCCAGCATACGGAAAATCTGAAATCATTTGTGGTTGTGTTGGCAGCGTGTAAGGGAATGCCGAAAAATGCTACTACTTTTGCTTCTAATCATTGGTAAACACTAGTGGGTAGTCTCCACTGATTTCAAGTACATAATAATTTGTTTACATCCTCATTTATCTCCTAAGGATAAAAGACCGATCATGTGGTTGACTGCAGCTGGCTCACTTGCACATATTGCTTTGCAGGAAGTCATTACCAATGAGAAATCGATAAAGCACTTCAAAAAATTTACAAAAATCTTACTGTTTAATTGGAGTCATATCATTCGTTTATGATAAATATGTTCCCAACCCAGAGCAATTTTTTAAAACGTAATTTCTCTTTAAGCTCAACTAGCAATCATGGATCGTAATGTTAATTTAACTTGAATGCAGGCAGACGTATATCAGGTTGGGAAGTTGGCGAAAACGAATTGAAATGGTATGTGCTAAGGAAAAATAACAACTAGTTTGCAAAACAAATAAAAACACCAAATAATTATGCTTATATAGATGAAATGATGAATGAGGTGACCAGGTGCTGGATTTCAATTGTGGGAAAGCATTACTTTCAATCCAAAAAACAATCTGAATACATGCACCAACTAGTACAACTGTTTATGACAAAATTCTTCACTTGAATGATACAAGGGTTAAACTTTCTTATAGTCTTACCATGCTTTAAAAGACAAAATTTTGATATAGGGCCAGCCCATATTTTACATTTACAACGCGTTCTGCGCATGTCGTGTTTGATGACGTTTTCATTAGTAAAAAAACAAAAGTTGGGAGTCATCGCAATTTCTCTGTATATTCTAATACAACAGCTAAAGACAATAGAAAAACTATATTACAACTTTTGCGTTTGAGCAATACATTCTGAGATATTCTAGACATTTTAAATGAACGACGAGTTTTTTAATCGTAAACATGTTTCGGCATGCTTATGCCATCTTCAGTACATAGAGTGAAAGTAATTATGTTATTTACATGATATATATATATGTGTGTATGTGACTATCGTTAAGTGTATTAAATTACAGAATTAGTGTTAGATATTATATTACAGGTTAAATATTGTATTAATGTGGTATATTTGTTTGTTGAGGTCTGGTTTGAGCTTTTTGATGTAGAGCGCTTCTTTCAGTTTAAGAGAAAAAGGAGAGTTGGCGGTGTCTAAGATGCGAAAACATGAATGGTTGTATTTTGATTTGCAATGAGGTGAAGTGTGAAGGTGTTTATAAATATGTGAGTTTTTGTCGGAATGTGTGTGCTCTTTGATGCGTGTGGAGAGATGGCGAGTTGTCTCACCAACATAACGGGAATTACATCCTGCACATGAGAATTCATAAACCACGCAAGATTTGAGTAGAGATGGAATACTGTTTTTGAAACTAAAAAGATTTTTTATTTTGTAAGATGAGAAGACCAGTTTGATTTTTAAGTCAACACAGAAGCGTTTTGTTAACTTCATGGGCTATCATGAAAAGAATTGGTTAACTAACTACGACGGACCAAACGTTCCTTTTCACAGACGTTACATAGATGATATTTTTTCTATATTTAACAACGAAAACGACGCCTCATTATTCCTCAATGATTTAAATGTACAACACACAAACATTACCTTTACAGTAGAAAAATAACAGGACAATAAATTGCCTTTCTTAGATATACTTATCACTAAAGACACAACTTCAGACAATTGCATAACTTCCGTCTTTCACAAGAAAACTTACACCGGACTCTTAAAGAACTTTTTTAGTTTTACACCACGTAATTATAAAACAGGACTTATAAAAACTCTCCTTGAACGCATTCACAGAATCAACAATACAACAAACGGCTGCGAAAATGACATTAACACACTAATTGAAACTTTAAAACGAAATTCTTTTCCTGTCCATTTCATAGACAAAGTCATCCAATCATTCAACGACAAAATACAATCAGACACACAAGCATCAGACGAACCTAACCAAAACAAACAAAACATATACTAATTCAAACTTCCTTACATTGGCTCATACTCACACACCACTCAACAAAAACTACGGAAGTTAACAAAACGCTTCTGTGTTGACTTAAAAATCAAACTGGTCTTCTCATCTTACAAAATAAAAAATCTTTTTAGTTTCAAAAACAGTATTCCATCTCTACTCAAATCTTGCGTGGTTTATGAATTCTCATGTGCGGGATGTAATTCCCGTTATGTTGGTGAGACAACTCGCCATCTCTCCACACGCATCAAAGAGCACACACATTCCGACAAAAACTCACATATTTATAAACACCTTCACACTTCACCACATTGCAAATCAAAATACAACCATTCATGTTTTTCGCATCTTAGACACCGCCAACTCTCCTTTTTCTCTTAAACTGAAAGAAGCGCTCTACATCAAAAAGCTCAAACCAGACCTCAACAAACAAATATACCACATTAATACAATATTTAACCTGTAATATAATATCTAACACCAATTCTGTAATTTAATACACTTAACGATAGTCACATACACATATATATATATCATGTAAATAACATAATTACTTTCACTCTATGTACTGAAGATGGCATAAGCATGCCG